GCGTTGCTTAGGCTGCGTTTATACTTTGCGGCAGCGTAGCGTAGCGCTTCCAGCGTACGCCAGCGGCAGTGCCGGGGAGAGGATGCATATCGATCTAGCGTTCCCAGCGTCACCAGCGTCACGCTAGCGTACGCTAGCGGCACGCTAGCGTACGCCAGCGTTTCTCCAGCGTTTCACCAGCGTTTTGCTAGCGTTTGCAGCGGCAGGGGAGTAGAGACTATGGGAGAGCTGGAGGGTACAAAACACATCGATTGCGCGTCTCTCACTCGCCCTTAGTCTCTACAATGCACATCGCTTCTGCGTCTCCGACGGCCACATAGTCTCTACTATACACATCGATTCCGCGTCTCACGCCACATAGTCCTCACTCCCCGCTCGAGAAAAACGCTGGTGCAGCTAGATTCGATAGCTATCTTTCCGTGCCTCGCTCCTCCAGCCGTGCGCAGCGGCACGCTAGCGTACGCTGTGTGCCGAGCGTACGCTGGTGAAGGTAGATGATAATCTACCTTTCCCCGGCCTGCGCGGCGTACGCGAAGCCTACCTACGCGCCGCAAAGTATAAACCGCAGCCTTACAGCTCTTACCAATACGTAGAGCGACAAAGCTGGTATTTTTGATAGTTGGTAGGAGGTGTTTATCCAATATCTTGAGGAAGGGTGTTGTGCTCAAGGTTGCGTTCATACTTTGCAGCAGCGTCCACCAGCGACCATCAGCGTTTCGAGTGTCCGTCAGCGTCAGCGACTAGGAAAGTGTAGATATCGATCTAGCGAACGGCAGCGTCTACCAGCGTCCGCCAGCTACCATCAGCGTCTCGAGTGGCCGGGAAAGTATAAATATCGATCTAGTGTCTGCCAGCGTCTACCACCGTCTACCAGCAACCACCAGGTTTCACCAACAACCAGGAATACGGTGTTGTGTAGTAGTACGGTGCGGTTGCACACACCACAATTTCACGACGCCTAATCCAGCTGTCTGCTCTCTCCTACTTCCCCATAATCTCTACTCCTGCTGGTAGATGCTCGATGGATACCCTATCTTGTTGGCCCTCGAACGGTGACGGACGCTCGAAGCGCTGGTGGACACTGACGCAAACTATGAACGCAGCCTATGAAGGGAATTAGGAGGGAGCGGGTTGTATTCTGGGAAATTCTGTTCCAAAAATTCCTAAAGTCGCGACGTGCTCTGGCCAGGGGACACGTAGACCTAGTGTGCTGCCTAATATGAAATATCTAGCTGACTCGGCCCACGTTCACTATTTCATGAGAAATCCTTGCCTTGCTGCTACTGCCGCGCACTCGGCGACATTTTCAATGCCGCTTTTGCCGCGATTAGGATCTCCCGACCCAAACCGGAAATGAATGCCATCCTAGTAGATGAATTGCGGGGATGCGCGCGTCACTAACCTCCTACCCTTATAAAGCCCCAGATGCCATTTAAATGAGCATACCATTGCAACATCAAACCAGCTTCCCGCGATGATGACACATCAACGCCAGATCGAAGTCGGACGGAAATCTGAAAATGAACAGCTCTGAGCTGAGGATCACAGAAGAAAAGCAAAAGGGAGAAAAAAGAAAAAGAAAAGTGGTATGACAGCATGAAATTTGACACTGACAGTGGAGCTTCGTTGCGGTGGTATGATGACTTTCTGAGGGTGAATTCCATATAAACGAGGGGCCGAAATCAGGACTCTACAATAAAATATGTGCATGGATTAACGAATCAAAGCGTAGAACTCTCGCTTGGCAACCAGCCAATTTCTTACAGTATCCTCACCTCACTGTTAACCATTCATTGGCATGTAAATTTTCCAACGCAAGTACACCTTCTCCGGAACTGTCGACTATGAAAGGCTTTAAAAAAATTCAAAATTACTCTGCAAGATTCAAAGATGTTCGATTCGTACCCTTGGGGTGATGCGTAGCGCGTCATCCTTTTCAACGATAGTATTTGACCTGGCCGTTTCCAATTGCTCCCTAAAAGCCACACTTTGGGATTGTGAATCGACTCCATGGTCAACAATGTTGACGAATATGAAGTACCGTAACCGCAACTTCAATGTTAGTCCATTACATTACTAGTAACTATTCAGATGACATTTTTTCAGTTTGCTACACGTGTAGGGTACACCACTATGGCTTTATCTCATCTAGGGGGTCGTACTTGGTCGCTGGAGAGGGGGTCGTATTTGATCGGAATTCTTCCAAGCTGCCGAACGAAACAATTCCACCTTTGTCGAATAGATTTGCTATTTTGCCACGTTTCATAACGCGCTATGTACACTCGAATGTAGTGGGCGAGGGCTGTGGGCTCACGAGTACTCCATTCTATGCCATGTTCAAATGCCAGCCTACTCCGTCTCAGGAATAAGGAGTTACCCTCAGTTTGGCGTCTGGCTTCGTCGTATACTGTCGTTTTCGTTGCAGATGCTCAGAAGTGTCAGAGGAGGGTTAGTTTGGCGTGAGGCCAGCCCATTTTCCACTAAAAGATTAGCTGAAGAGGGCAAACTACGATTGGCAGAAATCGGGCTGGCGCCGCGTCAACGCCAATCCCTGGCACGCCCCGGTGTCTGCAGCGAAAAGGACAGTAGGTAGAATGAGGAACGGAGAACGCGCCTACACATCACAATGCTGTATTCTACGTTACCATCACTTCAATCGGGTCCTTTATTCAAATGAGGAAAAGCTGGCGGAAGTCAGAATGTGACAATGTGATCTTAGAACGTAATGCAAGTCTGCGACCATTCCAATCTCTCTCAACTCTTCCCTTCTGCAAAATTGTTTTTTTTCCTTTTTGAAGACTACGTAAAAAACCAGCGTTTC